GTCAATGTAATTTGTGGGTTACGAAAACCGTAGTTACGTTCAAAATAGTAGTTTATGATGATGATTCAGGATTTGAATTGGTCGTGAACATTTACTGAGTCAGTGTAATCTGTGGGTTACGAAAACCGTAGTTACGTTCAAAATAGTAGTTTATGATGATGATTCAGGATTTGAATTGGTCGTGAACATTTACTGAGTCAGTGTAATCTGTGGGTTACGAAAACCGTAGTAGTTTATGATGATGATTCAGGATTTGAATTGGTCGTGAACATTTACTGAGTCAGTGTAATTTGTGGGTTACGAAAACCGTAGTTACGTTCAAAATAGTAGTTTATGATGATGATTCAGGATTTGAATTGGTCGTGAACATTTACTGAGTCAATGTAATTTGTGGGTTACGAAAACCGTAGTTACGTTCAAAATAGTAGTTTATGATGATGATTCAGGATTTGAATTGGTCGTGAACATTTACTGAGTCAGTGTAATTTGTGGGTTACGAAAACCGTAGTTACGTTCAAAATAGTAGTTTATGATGATGATTCAGGATTTGAATTGGTCGTGAACATTTACTGAGTCAGTGTAATTTGTGGGTTACGAAAACCGTAGTTACGTTCAAAATAGTAGTTTATGATGATGATTCAGGATTTGAATTGGTCGTGAACATTTACTGAGTCAGTGTAATCTGTGGGTTACGAAAACCGTAGTTACGTTCAAAATAGTAGTTTATGATGATGATTCAGGATTTGAATTGGTCGTGAACATTTACTGAGTCAGTGTAATCTGTGGGTTACGAAAACCGTAGTAGTTTATGATGATGATTCAGGATTTGAATTGGTCGTGAACATTTACTGAGTCAGTGTAATTTGTGGGTTACGAAAACCGTAGTTACGTTCAAAATAGTAGTTTATGATGATGATTCAGGATTTGAATTGGTCGTGAACATTTACTGAGTCAATGTAATTTGTGGGTTACGAAAACCGTAGTTACGTTCAAAATAGTAGTTTATGATGATGATTCAGGATTTGAATTGGTCGTGAACATTTACTGAGTCAGTGTAATCTGTGGGTTACGAAAACCGTAGTTACGTTCAAAATAGTAGTTTATGATGATGATTCAGGATTTGAATTGGTCGTGAACATTTACTGAGTCAGTGTAATCTGTGGGTTACGAAAACCGTAGTAGTTTATGATGATGATTCAGGATTTGAATTGGTCGTGAACATTTACTGAGTCAGTGTAATTTGTGGGTTACGAAAACCGTAGTTACGTTCAAAATAGTAGTTTATGATGATGATTCAGGATTTGAATTGGTCGTGAACATTTACTGAGTCAATGTAATTTGTGGGTTACGAAAACCGTAGTTACGTTCAAAATAGTAGTTTATGATGATGATTCAGGATTTGAATTGGTCGTGAACATTTACTGAGTCAGTGTAATTTGTGGGTTACGAAAACCGTAGTTACGTTCAAAATAGTAGTTTATGATGATGATTCAGGATTTGAATTGGTCGTGAACATTTACTGAGTCAGTGTAATCTGTGGGTTACGAAAACCGTAGTTACGTTCAAAATAGTAGTTTATGATGATGATTCAGGATTTGAATTGGTCGCGAACATTTACTGAGTCAGTGTAATTTGTGGGTTATCAAAGCCGTATTTACGTTCAAAATAGTAGTTTATTACAATAATTCAAAAGGTAAATTGATCGTGAATATTTACTGAGTGATAATAAAGCCATATTTACTTTAAAATAGTAGTAGCCGATAATGCAAGATGTAATTTGATCGTGAATTTGTACTGAGTCCGATTAATTCAATTATGATTAAACCATATTTAAGTACTAACTTATAGTGGCTAATGAGAAAGCAAGGCGCTCTTAAGTATCAACACGATATGCAAGTAATTTACCTTGGAGCTATTGTAATATTTAGTTCCCGTTCTAAAATATACTCTAATTGGAACATTTTTTAAAAATTACTTTACATAGCGAAAAGGTAGTTTTGTGTAACTTAATAATCATAATCACTTTGTTTTACCTTTTTGCATTCAATCAATTACAATTTGATGTGAAATGACTAAACTGTAATTTGCAGTGACTGCGATCGAACACAAAACTTAAGAAAATAGGAAAACGTGAAATAAAACCCTAATTGGAAGAAATAAAGAACACGTAAATCATATTTTCTTTTTTTAAGTATACATGTAAACATTAGAAAGTACCCATGTTTTGCCTCCTGGATTGATGAAAAAGTATTAAATTTTAAATATTTCGTGTAAATATAAATGTTTCGTGTGTCAGTGTGTATGTACGACATGTGGAATGCAACCAATGCTTTTAAAACAGTAATAATAAAGAAGACAGAAGATTTGACAATGGGGCTGATTGCCCCGAAACTATAGTCATCATAAAAAGACTAGGATTGAAGACGTAAACAGGTATTTAACCTATTATTAGTATTAGAAAGTAGGTTTCAGCATATCGTTGAACCGCATAAAAATACTCGAATAATAAACCTAAAAAATTAAAACAAATTTAAGCGACACATGACAAGTATAGTATTTCAATGCGTCAAAGAAATGGTACGCCTGTAGCTCAACAACGAATACCGTAGTAACAGGATTATTACCAAGAGAAGGATTGTAACGATATAAAACCGTTCTACGCGGACTGCACTGTCGACTCCGACTGCAATGTCATCAAATCGTCATGCCTCAGCAAAACTTATATGCTGGAGTCTAGGATATAGCCGTACATTTTCTTTCTTCTACAATCCGCCCATTTTACAAAGAAAATAGTTCCGATTAATAAATACCCGATTAGCAAAGTTCCGATTAATTCCGTCATTCCATTTGACCACGAACGAATACGGACCAGTCAAGTATTCTTGCATTTTTTTTTATTTTTTTTTATTTATTTACTTTACAATCTGTTCTATTATATATGGAACAGTAAGTAAATACTATGTAATACGAAAAATTGACTTTGGAACATTAAAAATAGCTGTTAAGCACTCTCAACAACAAATTTTTCAATAAAAATTTGACCATTGATACAACGACTTAACCTATAAACCTGTTGCGTGTTTACAATTAATTGTCGTTAAAATCTTGTGTTTAACCGTAACTTGCCTAAATCCTAAACTAAGAACATTTACATATGGTTTGGTTAAGACAATCCCATTAAAACAATGTTTAAATAATGTTTACTTCCGGGCCAGTAACATATTTGGTTTATGTTTATGTATGATCCATATGTCTGTTCTGGCCACGAATACTTGAACAGAACCGGTATGGATCATAAACAAATGATGTTGCTGGACCAAATCCTATACTAATAGCATTAACATATGTTTTGGCAGTTCCATTTAAGCAATGATAAATAATGTTTATTTTCCTATAGTTACCCGACAAAGTGGGCTTCCTTGCACTGTTATAGTAGGCCTACGCAAAGTAGCTAATTTTGCATTTACCTACTTTTGTCGCACTCCAGTATTTCAACCAAACAACAAAAACAGTGTGCTTTGTATGCTTGAAAATAAGTTGGAAAGACTAAAAGATACTACGAATACGATAAGCTGGTGTAGTGTTTCCCATTTCGTTCAACGCTTGGATTAAACCTAACCTAAAAACGGGTTGTATATTGTTTGAAAGACTAATTATTTATATGGTTTCTAGTAACTGTAGGAAAAATATAATGTGTAACGCGAGTGCAAAGTGTCTTTGCTGCCCTCGAGAAACTTTCCCCACTCGCCTATACGTCTCGCCCGTGAACATTTCTCTCATGTGCAGCAAAGTGCCACTTCGCACACTAGTTACACAAATAACTATTTTGAGCCAGCAACGTAATTTATTTATGTTTATGATCCCTAGTATTCGTGATTTAACCTAACGGAAAACGTGAGAGTTTAAAAGACTTGAGTAAAATGTTTGCAAATAATAGAGTGAAATAAATAAATATTCTTATTCTTATTCTAAAAGTGAGTATAATCCTGTTGTTGCATGTTAACATAAACATTCCAAACCAAAAATTGCATTCAGATTTTGATTCATAAGGCTTATTCAATTTAATTAAGAAACAATTGTGAAATATTTTCATTTAGGTTTTAAATTGCTTGTGAGACAATTTCAATTAGGTTTAACTGTAATAGTAAAACTACACTACTTTATGACTCATTCCAATTTATTTGTGTAAATAATGGTCTTAAATTTGACAACAAAATATGGGTGACGTTTCATAATGTAACACTTCAACTTAAAACTGTGTGATGTAATGCTTTTCCGAGCGTGATTGTATATGGTACACTATTTCAAGAATACTGGACTAGGATTGTGGTAAACTTAGGCTGCAGAGCCAATGGAATAAGAAGAATTTTGCTAAAAGTACACACAAATAAAACTACTAGAATTGAGAACCTTTAATAACTGTGATTTGGAGTAGTAGTGTAGATTGAGAATAAAAACTAAAATAGTTTAACGCCACTGGTTGAGTATGCTAATGTAAATAATTACTGATTTCTGTTAAATAAACAAAGGTTGTTAACTAGCTAATAGGAGAAAGCATGTGTCAGGTTGGTTATAGGCCTACAGTTTATTTTGAATTTAATATTGTGGCAATTCTCCCGTAAAACTCCTTAAAATAACAGAAAAATCTTTTCTGTTATTTTACAGAAATTTTATTGATTTTTCACAAATACTGCTTGAGAAATTTTGTTGAAAATTGTATAGGCCCTTTGTGTTATAGTGTTTAGTCTAAAACTTGCACATAGTTGTTGTGCCTGAACAAAATGGCACAATTCCTAACACTGTAACAGTTACAGTTAAAAAGTGAGTGCAATTTTTATGATTTATTCCCCCTTAAAACCCCATAGATAACCTCTCCCAAAATTTAACTGGAAGAAAAAGGATTACTCAGGATTAAACTAGTTTTGAAGAAAGCATGTTGCAGTTTATTTTATTTTTCCTCATTTGAGATATTAGCTGACGGATGATGTATTTTGTTGCAGATCCCGATCTCGGACACGCAAGGTCCACCGCAGCAGATCGTCCAGTGAGGAGAGAGAGAGGCACTACAGACGGTACAAGTCCAGGTCCAGGTCTAGGTCCAGATCCAGGTCTAGGTCTCCCCCAGTACTTACCATGGTGCAACTGACGGCAACGGAGAAACGGCGCAAACTGAGGGAGGATCACGAGCGGGCGCTGGCGTCGCTCAGGGAGACGATACGGAAACCTTTGTCGGTGAGTGTACTGTAACAGGTACAGCGCAGGACTTTGGTCCTTAGGTCATAGATTCAAATCCCACCAATCACAAATGGCTGTGGGATAATGCTTTGACCCCCTTGCCCTGGTTTAAAGTAACAAGCTCTTGGCTCTTATAAAAGAGGCAAAGATTTATAAGGCTGTACCCTACTAATACCTAACCTTAGACCCAATTCACACAGAACAAACGTCGGGCGGAGACGTGGCACAGACGAGATAAGAACATATATGTACCTTCCTCATCCCTCCATGTAAACAAATCGGTCAATGCAGACACAAGTAACATGGCGCGGGCCGCAGCCCTATTGACCGCCACGTCCCTTCGCTGTCCCTCGTGGCGTATCGGAAGTGGCACCAATATAGAACCAATATAGATGGAGTAGCGCGACTACATTAATTGATGTAGTCCGCCACGGGCGCTTGTCATGTACTACATCAATTGATGTAGTCAGCACTGAACGTGTTAAAATGGCAATAAATTTTAAATATGAATTTCCAACTGTAACTTAGGTACTGTATATATGATTCCTGCACTCCTTCACTTTGACAAACTTTTTTACTCTACTGCACTTGTTTTATCTTACAAATAACTATTACCTCTAACAATTAAGATTTTTGTTTAAGCTGTAACTTTTTTACATAATACAAAAACAGTAAGGTGTCAGATAATACAAAACTGCAAATTGTTCCAGACGACTCCATTATCCATAACCATCACCAACCATGGAGGAGACAATTTCGAGGCTATCTGTGACAATTACGACCCTGTAGTGATGAACGAGGTAGGAAGCCCTTCTCATTGGCTTACAGGCTTGTATGCTTGTATATAGGCTTGTATTTTTATTTTTAATATTTTATTTTGTTTTCCCTTGTTGTTGAACTATACTTTTCATAGAAATAAACTTTTTATTTAACATGCATGTTTTCTGTTTCTATTTACATACTTTTGCTTAGTGCTATCATAAATTGGCTTTTGCATGGCTTAAATGTGAATAATTACTGTGGAAGAAGAAAGAAATGAAGGGATGCGGGAGTGTGGCTATAATCGGCTCAATGGTAAGTGGAATATTCATTTAGATTTGTATTGTTTATTTTTTATTTTCCTGTACAGTATTATTATTGTGTGTGTTTATTGCCATTGGTATTTTGTTATGGTTTTGTTTAGAGTGGTCCAAATTCTGGTCTTGTTAATATCTAATTTGACCCTATATTGGATAACATCGTTTGGTTGTTAATTAATTAATTAATTGCCATGGCAAATGGGTATCTGGGTCCGGGATGATTTAACCACTCAACTACCCAGAAAATTGTTGACAATATGTATTGTAATCTACCTATTTCACTTATGTCTTTGTAAATGTGTTTACTATTGTAAATTATCAAACTCTTTTCTCGTTTAAAAGAAACTGGTCTGGGGTTTTTGGGCGGTGGAATTTATAATGCTGGGGCATGGAGTGAAAGGTTTGGTGAAATATTTGGGTCCCATTGTATTTATTGTTGCTTCAAGGTTTAAATACATCAGTATACACAAAGATTTTCTGTTATAGTTTGATTATATTATTTTTAATCTTTTGTTTCCTAAAAAAAAAAATTGTATTAGTATTTGTAACATGTAAAACTTTGAATTATTTCCCATTCAAATAATCATGTGTAATCTCTTAAGTATTCATCTAACTCCACATTTTTTAATGTAACTTATACAACAACTTAAAAAGGTGTGAACATAGAAATATATTTTATCTATCTTTTGAATTTAATGTTCTATTTATTCAGTAGAGTCTCTGTAACCTAAACCACCCTTGATAGGTTTCGATAATACAGAAAATAAAATAAAAAACTGAATAAGTAAAGTTTATATCTTGTCAACCCCATTCAACTTAATGCTTTAAGTTTGTTGTGTGTTGTAGTTTTTTAATATTTTGAAGCTACAAACAATAATTTACGGAGTAAAAATACAGAGTAAGATAAAGCAATGCTCAATAAATAGCTCTCTGTCCGCGAACAAGACTTTAGGTATAGCAGAGAAGTATTGCATTTATAAAGATTTAACAGTGACAAACTGTGAGATGTCCAGTGTATGGTCTAGTGTCTAGTACAAGGGTCTAAAGCCTGACACCTTTCTTGTGAGGATAGACAAGGGCTGTCTTAGTAGCCTCTATGGTGTACAGACGTACCACCTGAAAATAGCCTGTGATCAGTATTTGATTGTTCACTGGTAGAGTTGGATACTTTGAAATGTTGGATAGTTGAGACTCTACTATACTTGTAAATCAAAGTAATAATTTTGTCTCATATATACATAAAATATATATATATATATATAAATTATGAATCAGCAGATAAGTTTGTTTATACCAATTTTAGTCCCTTTTGATTTTTATACGTCTGTCTTTTGCAAGTTTTCAGTTTTCACAAAAGTGTTAACCTTTTTGGCGTATGGCTTTTAAAAGAATAAGTTGGCATTTATTGAAAAAAATACCTATTGGTACTGTCGGAAATTTGAATTTCCTAGTTAAAACTGTTAGGGCATTTGTTACTGTCACATTACATTCAATACAACCAAAAAGCCTCAACCTCGGTTGGATGAAATGAATTGTGCAAAAAACACTAACAATCAATTAAAATGCCATTTTGCATTGTTTTATTTCTTAATTTCTTAAAAGACTAGAAAATGCTCCTGATATTTGATTATTTGATAATATTGTATATAATATAATTATATTGATATTATTATCAATATAATAATTATTTGACATATTTGATTATTTCATCCGCAGAGGTATAATTTATACAGTGTTACCAAACATGTTTTGTTAGAAGATTTAAGTTTATTTGCACTCTAGTCAGACTTAGTGTCCTCTCAAATTTAAACAGCTCTTATAGATTATGTTTTAAATTTTTTCTTAATTCACTACACATGCCCAAATAAAATCTTAGTTCCTGGGGACCGAGCCTTGCTCGGAGAAAGTCATTGGTATACTCTGAGAGCAGTGTCTTGTCATTGCCATTTATACAAATGAAATGTTGCAGTCTATTTGTCAAAACATTACTTGAGGATATAGCGTCCTCCAGTGATAAATTAAAAACCTCTTTGGTGTGAGGTTTATTTATAATCAGCTGTTAAATTTATTTCATTGGTTTTAAATTTGACCTACCCTATACTGCCTTTCTCCATGCCGTTGTTTTCAAATTTAACTAAACTGTTTGAGATTAAGAGAAAACACAGGTGACTCGACTGGGGAGTACTACCTATTATTTTGTCAATGTTTACAATTTTCTTTATTATTTTGTTGCCAAAGCAGTAACCCATGGCTCACTGTTCAACATTTTTGACTTTCAATTTCATTTTTTTACGTAATTAGATTTTTGTTGGCAGTCTTTACTGCATGAAACACGTTTTTAGGTCAGAAATAAATTATTTACTACATTTCTAGAAATCGTCGAAGCCGTTTTTGAGATGTTTGTGCAAGTAAGCAAGCACACAATCATACATACTTACAAGCAAACATTGCTCGTACAAGAGAATAGGATAAGTCACAGTGTGTGAGCAGATCACAATTTTGTTGATGAAAAATAGCCACATGTTTACATCATACTCTTTTAAGGTTGACAAAGCAAAATGTTTTTCAATCTTTTTCTTAATTTGTTATTCTCAAGATTTTTATGTTAGCCAGTGGAAATTCATTTGATCTTTTGTCACCGACATTTTAGTAAAACTAAGTGTTTCCTCAGGTGCAAGGGCAGACGGGACCCGGGGGAATCAAGAAACAACTACCAAGTTATCTATCGAAAACAGAACATCCATTACCAAACAAACCTTATGACTCATCGGGGCTCAATCCCACTCCCTTACCACTTTACCCTCCAGGTGTATCTCCTCCTCAAGTCCCTACTCCTCAACCAGTTCACCATCATGTCCCTCAACCGGTTCCTCCTCCCTCTCAACCATATAATCATCATGCTTCACAACCGATTCATCCCCCTGGTGTGGATCCCAATCATTCACCTCCCTCAAATTATTTACCCCCTGCCTCACAGTCTGTTTACCACCACCCCCCTCAACCGGTTCACCATCATGTCCCTCAACTGGTTCCTCCTCCCTCTCAACCATATAATCATCCTGCTTTACAACCGATTCATCCCCCTGGTGTGGATCCCAATCATTCACCTCCCTCAAATTATTTACCCCCTGCCTCACAGTCTGTTTACCACCAACCCCCTCAACCGGTTCCTCCTCCCTCTCAACCATACACCACCCCTCCTCCTTCTCAACCATATAATCATCCTGCTTCACAACCAAAAAGTCCTACTGGTATGAATTCAGGTCATTCGTCTCCATTACAATATCACCCTCCTGCTTCACAACCGGATTACCACCAACCCCCTCAACCGGTTCCTCCTCCCTCTCAACCGGTTCCTCCTCCCTCTCAACCATATAATCATTATGCTTTACAACCGATTCATCCCCCTGGTGTGGATCCCAATCATTCACCTCCCTCAAATTACTTACCCCCTGCCTCACAGTCTGTTTACCACCACCCCCCTCAACCGGTACCTCCTCCCTCTCAACCATACACCACCCCTCCTCCTTCTCAACCATATAATCATCCTGCTTCACAACCAACAAATCCTCCTGGTATGAATTCAGGTCATTCGTCTCCATTACAATATCACCCTCCTGCTTCACAACCGGATTACCACCAACCCCCTCAACCGGTTCCTCCTCCCTCTCAACCGGTTCCACCTCCCTCTCAACCATACAATCATCCTCCTTCTCAACCACACAATCCTCCTCCTTCTCAACCATATAATCCTCCTGTAGTAGATTTAACCCATTCACCTCCCTCTCAATACCTGCCCCCTGCTCCCGAACAGGTTTGCCATTTTTACCCAGAACTGGTTGAACCTCAATACAACCATAACCACGCTCCAAGACCAGGGCCGTGTGATACCTCCTCCTCACAGCCATACTCTCAACCATTTCATTACTCAGATCCCCACCTTGATACTCAACCAGACCCTACTCCTCCCACTGATCAAATTACCATCCAACACCCATCGATCAGAGCCGGCATTAGGCAGATTGGAAAGGTGCGGCCGCTCAGGGCCCCGCACCTCAGGCTCTTGGTGGATTTTCTGCCTAAAAATCAAAGAAAATGAAAAGAGAAGAGTATGAATACTAATATTATACATTAAATCTTTTTTTATTATTGTTGAGACACTACTTTTTTGGTAGGAACCCCCCCACTCTGAATGTTTCCACTGGGCCCCGCACCACCCAACCACCCAAGGCCAGCTCTGACATTATGCAGTGGGAAGCAACCCAATACATTACATGACATATTAGTGCTCAATGTTATTTGTCATAAAGAATTTGTTATTTGTTAGTCTTTTTTAAATATTTGTACAGTTTGTATGTTTGAAATATATTTTAATTTTCTTGTGAATTTACTGTTTTCATTTCCTTTTTCTTAGTTTGATTTGAATGTTGTGAAATCAACATTTTTGTTACTACCAAATATTAATAAAACCATTTTACACGTAGCACTTGGATGTTATCAAAGCGAGGTATCAATGGCAAGTCGCATGTTTGTGTGTTTTTTAGTTAGTATTTTGTTATATCTTTGTTATATATATGCTTTATCCATCTTACATACTTTCAGCTTAGAAGTCCTGTGAATTGAATTTTGCTTGACTTTTTTGTTTACCTGGAATCTCTGCCAAGTCGTAATCCAGTTAGAAGTTGTAGGTTTAAGAGTGACCAGTATAAAACAATAAACCATTTAATCAGTGTTTAACTATTGTTTGACGTGGATCAATTCTGATGAAGAAAATTAATGAGTGATTTTATATAAAATCATAGTATAAATATACTACGATTTTATATAAACCATTCAAAATGGCCACTTAAGATAGAATTTTAATTAGTGGTTAGCTTAAGTTTGAAAAACACAATTAATTCATTCAGTAACATACAAAACTATTTTCTGGTAATTGAAAGGGTGCCCAAGTTTTTAATCTTTGGCTTTCTTATTTCACAATTTAATCAGCTCTACTTTTGTATTGGTAACCATTACCAAAAAAAATAATTAAACATTTGGGTATTTCTTACCTTGTGTATGCTTTCTTAACTCACCATTGTTTTTATTGTTTACCTTTATATTTTGAGTGTAAACTTGCTAATTAAAATGTGCCTCAGATGTTTGAATCTTTCTCCAATAAGTTACTTGCATTGGTCCTCAAACTGACATTTAAATGATAAAAGTCTTACACAATTAAATAAATAACTAATATATCAGCAAGTCAGTTTTCACATAGTTAGTTGTCAATGAGAAACCAGATTGAAGACTTTGAAAAATTGTTACAATCTTGATTGTGTATTGAGTCCAATTTTGTAACATCTCAATCATCTCATGTTTTCTCATGTAATTACAGGAGGCTTTTCTTCCAATTTTGGATTTCAGTTGTTCTTAAATCAATAGTCACTCTCATGTTAAAATAGGCCTATATTTAAGAAAAGAATTAGTAAGTTGCGTCCTGCAAAAATTAAAACCTTAAAAAATGAAGAATTATTTAATGTGCATCTAAGCTACATAAGTATGAAAAATACAACATCTTTTCACTGAATTTCTCTAACAAGTTCAGAATTTTTAAGTCAGCATTTCTCAGTTGATCCACCTCATGCTACAATTGACTTTTGGATATTGACGTAGACACTCCATCTATATGGATCTGTCATTAACAATATTTTAAAGAAAAAATAACGTATTTGAATGAGGCATTCACAGTCTGAGCTACCGAAGTAGTTTATATGACATAAAATATGCTATAAGTTTCCTTTCAGTTTTGATTGGCCAGATAATTGGCATACTCAACAGAAATCAGTGATTTAGATCAGCACAATCTGTCGGTGGCTAAATTGAACTACGTTCATTTTAATTAAAACTGGCTACAACTTAAGAGTCCTTGGTGGCTAGCGACCATCTTAAATAATTTTAAACAGCTGCTAAAGAGTTTAGTTTTTTCTCGTCCAAAAATATTTTTTCAAACAACAAAGTGATTATAATTTAAATATATAGTAAACTGTGATATTAGAAATGTTCTTTGTAGTTTTCAATTGTTCTCCAAGGGAGTTTATGAAAGGTAATGGCCATCTTGGATTTGCCCGCCATAAAAACAATGTTAATTTCGTTAATTTCAAACAGCCACTGAAAAGCTATTTACCATCTCAAAATATTAGTTCAAACACCAGAGTGATTGTAATTTAAATATCTAGTAAACTGTGGGATTAGAAATTGTCATCGTAGTTTAAAACAAAATATTTTATGAGTTAGAAATCTAGGCTCCAAGGACTCTTAACCATGGGAATGGAAAGTGGTAATATCCATAGTCAGATATGCTACTTGCAATACTTGATAATGCTAAGAGATGAGTGTGTGGCTGGGTTTACAGGACAGTTCGTCCAATTCTCCATCGGAGGTGGAGGTGATGGAGCCGTCACTGCCCCCGTTGCCTCCAGAGCCACCCCCACCCAAGCCAGCGCCGCCCTCGGTAGACAAGAGAGAAGACCTCACCACCTACACTTCCTTCCTACCCCTCCCCAACACAACACACACAGTTCCTCCCCCAATGGGCTACGACCTTCCCTTCAACAACTGGTTACCCCCTGGGGCAGACATGCACCCCAATGTCATGTTTCCTCCTCCTCAGATGATGAACTATTCAAACCCTCCTCCTCAGCAGCATTTCCCCTTCATGAACCAACCTCCTCCACCCCTCCCTTACCAGATGACCATGCCTCCGCCTTGCCACCAACATTATCGTATGCCGAATCAGGCTTCCGGCATGGTCGGCGTTCGGCAAGAAGTGAAAAATGTTCCCAATCCAGTATTAACCAACGCTTTGAATAGCATTGACGATCTAAGTACACATTTGGAAGGATCGAAATGCAAACATAACCCATTAGGACAAAATAATCAGACAGTTCAAGAAGCCATTGACAGTGTAAAAAAGTGCCTGAAGAATTGTGACGCTCTAAAGAACAAAGATCCGAGGCTAGCTGTGGTAGAAGGCAGGACAAAATCCCCAGAAAGATCGGAATCCTCGACCAAAACTGATGGAAAGATTAAGATTACTCTGAATTATAAACCTAGACCTGTGTCGGATGTACAACAAACATCTTTATTTGAACCTACGGATGAAGAATCTGATTCTAAAACTATCAGGTCGAGTGAATCAAGTAAAAATTCTAATAATTACAGTGAAAAAAATTCTAAAATTGAAGATATTGTTTCCAAATTAAAAGACAACATTAACACATGTTCCAGTGTATCATCAGAAGAGACAGATAAAAATGAACTGCAGAGGCATTCAACTGCTGGTAAAAATCCAGGCGATGAGCCATATGATCCTTTTAATGTCAGCGATGAGATAAGCGATTGTAGTGGAAATATTGAGGAAACTAAAACAAGCTCACCAAATAAACAAAATGATAAAAGACAAACTATTACATTTAACGATACCACACCCAAGCTATCTCAGTCTGAGATTGAGAATATCAATGACCAAGTAAATAAATCTTTTGCTTTCATACTTTCACACTCCATTGAAAGAAAGCGTCTGACTCCAACCTGGTCAAATATTGTCTCAAAAAAGGCAGAAAAACAGAGGAAATCTGAATTTGATGATAAGATCCAATCTGTGACAAAACCATCCCAGTTGAATCAAGAAAATCAACAAAGCAATACAAAAACACCTGAAGTTGTTTCGTCTGTGAAAACATCTCCAACTCTTGAAAATGAAATAGTTGAAAATTCAAAATTTGGTTCACTGCAATCCATCTCAAGGACTAATTCCAATAGGGGCATTGAGAGAAAGAATACCACAAATATTCCAACTGAGTTGGTAAGAAGTAAATTTCAAAACATTTTTGAACAACATTTAGATCAACACAATAAAATCCAGTCAGAGAATTTAAATAAAAAAGAATTTGTTGAACAACCAAAAGAAGAAAAGGACACGATTTACCTTCCAGGTAGCCAACAGTTGAATAGTTTGGGAGAGTCACAGTCTAAAATGTGTAATCCACCAACTCCCATTCAAGAGTCTAAAAGTGAATCACCAGATGTAAATAAAAGTAAGACCAAAGATGCTTTTGGTGATGGAAAGTCAAAGAATTTGCGTAGATTAATGGACAATGACAATGATGAATCCTCAGAATCATTTTGTCAGAACCCTAACAGCCTCAATAAAAATGAAGATAAACAACTGAAAGACAGGCCAGAAAATTGTAAACCATTAACAGAAAGACTTTCCTTAGAAAACCAAGCATTTCCGTATGATGCAGGATCTGATAATATCAGGCAAAATGCTTACATTAATATTTCTAAGCAGAAAGTTGGAATAAATGAACATAGATTTGAAGAAACATTTGCTGTCACAGAAAAGTCCAAAATACCTCATAAGAAAACTGTTTTTGGCGAGTCAAAAAATTATTACAATTCAGAAAGAAGGAGTAATCCTCCTTTGTCTATACCTACAAAAGGAGAGTTGAAAAGATTCCCTACACCTGAGAGGAATATGCCAATTATAAGGAAAACAGAGCTTTGTTTGGACACAAAAGAGACAAAATCAGAACAGAAAATGTTAGCTTGTTCGATAGGAGGGGATTTGGAAGAGAATCAGGGCAAAGAAGTTGCAAAATTGCCGTCAAGCAAAATTGTTGAATCCATTCTACATGATTTTGATGAAAGCAATTCTATTGGTTGTGATATCCAAATTGTAAACAAAGAAAAACCTGACATCATTGCTGTGAAAGAATCGAAAGTAAACTGTGATACCGTTGAACTAGAAACTTGCAAACACCAGCCTCAAAAAGACACCTTTGAGTTGAAAACTTCAGAACCATCACAAACGCAAAGTGAAGAAAAAGGAACTGTGTTTTCTGCTGTAGACCAAAAAGAAAGACAAGAATTACATAGTAGAAATTGTGATTCCCAAAGTGACATTGATGCAAAAGTTAGGAGAAAAAGCCAAAGAAAATCAAAAGTGTCAAAATATAAAATCAATAACGATAGAAATAATGAGGATTCTAACTGCTCAACAGAAACACAGAAAATTGAACACGAACATGAAAATCTTCAACCAATTGTAGGTGATGACAATATCCAGAGTTCTAATACCGGTTATTTGATGAAAACGGATTCTAATGATAAGACCTTGCAAAACTTTACTTCTGAAAATGCTCAAGTTACTATAAGTTCTGCGAAATCCAATGAGAAACAATTAAAACCATGCCCTCTATCAAGAAAAAGTAAATCCTACATATCACAAAATCTACCTCTTTCCTTTGACCTATCAGTTGACGGACATCTAATAAGGAGAGGTAATCATTATCTTGTCATCATGGTATCCACACAAACATGAATACCCTGAAACATAATTGTCAACCCTAAAAATTCTCTGCTGTTCGATTTCATTCCTCGATTCCTCAAAGCCTTCTCGTTTCTCGATACTTGGTGACTTTGGATTATCAATAACAAATCCAGATCTCCCAAGATTGTGGCAACATTGTGGATTTTCGATTGCGTAAATTATATTTTGCATCCACAAATCACTCTAATATTCCTGCCTAAAAATTTCAGAAATATTGTAAAACAATTTGTAAATGTTTGGATTCTGTTAGATTTGGATTTAATAGATAGTTAATATTTATTTAAATTCTCATATATTCATAGTTAAACTAGTTTGGCCTAGCTGACTTCAAAGACAAACTTGTCTGTAAGGTCCAATTAATTAATTAATGATACTAATACATTTAACTTTTATAAATAGTCATTTGAATAATGCATTACACCTTAACATTTAACCTTAGACCACCTTGATTTTATTCATTGTGTATATTAACTATCACAGTCGCATCTGATCGGGATCGGTGGCTGTTGACTATATGCTGCAACCGCTTTCCTTCTGTAATTATCCATTTGTTGTAGCTGAAGTCCACTAAGATATGCCATGATTCCGCCTGTACCTAACCTTAGTTGCCTGGCTCATAACAAAGTAACAAAAAAATATGTAAATATGATTGTGTAATAGGTCAATTTAAATTTTAAGTTTGTGTGGATATCAGTTATGTATTGTTTGGTTGTGGTCATGCTTCTTTTAGTTTCATAGCAAAAATAAGTGGGCTACCGGAAATGGGAATAGGTGAAAGGTAGCTTAGAAAAAAATGAAAAACCAATACTCAAAAATGCACAAAAACATTAACCAACCCTTTAACACTACACCTCTGTTATTAAATGTAATACAAATTTTTGTTTTCGCTACTTTAATATGGTGTGTATCCAGAAATGAAATACTCAATTAGATATTTTTTACTTACATAGATGAGTCTGCAATTTGCCAACTCCTCAGTAGGTTGTTAGTGAACCTCATGAAGTCTTGAAATTATGACAATAATAGAAACACTTAAGTTAAGGATATAATAAAATATTATGACTGACGTTTCATGGCCTTGATAGTATAACTAAATTGTGTGATTTCAGGATTCAAGACACTTCGAGTAAGGATGCATACATTAGCACATCTACCTTCCACTACCAGTTCCCTGGAAGTCTCCTCTGCAAGCACTCATGGTGATAGCGATAGTGAATCTGTAGATAAACTATCTGATAAAAATGCAGAATTTTTAAGTGAAAAAAACACATTTGCAAAACAAAATCTTAAAAAACCAAAAAAGAGGGTGTCTTTTGATTTAAATGTCAGTGAAATATTTGATGACTTTAAATCGTTTTCCGACAACGACGAAGATTCTGTAAACCATAAATCAGAAGAAGAACTAAACGATAAAGATTTGGACAGGTGTGAAAGTGGTAAAGTAATTGATACACCAATTGATAACTTGCATTTTGATGCCCCTAATAATAATCAAGCTGTAAGTAAAAGTAAATGTGAAAAAGTTAACTTAATTAATATTCAGAACCCAAATGATTGTAAAACATATAATCCTGCTGAAAATACATCACAAAGTATTGCATATGTGTATCAAAATATTACGAAGACTTTGGCTTCTTTGAGGGAAACACCTTTCACAAAATTTAATAAAAGAAAAGCTGTAGCCGTAAGTATCCCAAGTCCTCAAGAAATGCCAGAAATGAAATTTCTCAGCTCCTTGAAGAAATCATTCTTAGTTGACTCAAAAACATCAAATTTACAAGAGGCGTCGGAAAATCTAACAAAATTAAAAGATACAAAAACTTATGAAGAGAACACCAAAACTGAACCTTTTAAAGAGAAGAATATAAATAAGGATACTTCGACAAAGTATTTAATGGATGTTGTAGAAGGGAAAGACTCTAATGTGTCAGATGTGTGTACGAGTGATAATGATGACTCAATGATTCTCGATAAAGAACTATCAGACCTGGCCAAAGGGTGCTTGGATTCAGACAGCAATGTAGGAGAAGATGATGATAGTGTTCTAAACTTTGGCATGGTAGCTTCAGAAGATAGCTCAGTCGATAATGAGTTTAATTTGAACTGTAAGAATGTTGAGTTTTCAAAGTCATCAGCACGTCCGAATAGCAAGCTTACGTCCCCACATAATGTTAAGAAGAGATTGGCAAGAAAGTTTAGATCTGTAAATATAGACAGGGATGTTAAAATCAGCAAAGACATGGATTCTGATATGAACTCAAGAGAAGAAAACAGCTCAGATGGCCTAAAAAGTCTGTCAATTGAAAAAAAATGCGGAACTCAAAATACAGAAAACAGTACACAAATGTGTGATGAACCTTCAAAAGACAAAGAAAATTTAATTGATGAAGTGAATAAAGAATCAACATTAGCAGACCTTAAAGAAAATGATAACTGTGTGATAGATGCTACTTTAACAAAAGAAAATAACCATCGCAAAACAATGAGAAGAATTAGCAAAAGGCAAAAGAGTAAATTAAAAAAGGTTTTGGATGAACAAAATAATGAAGATAATGAAGATTTATCTTGTGTTGGTGATCTTATATCTACATCCAAAATCAATGAAAATGTTAATTTAGACCCAGTTGTACTTGAGTTTGAAAATAAGGAAGTTGACTCAAACAAAGATATAAAAGAATGCTGCAATCAAAGCAGTGAAAATCTTGTTTTCAATGATGATTGCCCAAATAACAATTTGCCATATGCCAATGACAAATCTAAAGCAATAGATTCAAAAAATGAGTTAGTAAATTCAAGCTTTAACATAAATTCTGAAGAGAGCACTGGGAGTGAGAAACAAGACATCGCTTTTATTGATAATACCAATATAACCCCAGTTAAAAATACCCACAACACAACAACCTTACAGAAAAATAAAAGAAATAATGGAAGTAGGACAAACATAAAACCTTTCAAAACTGATGTTGAACCAAAATTATCAACGCTTAGAAAATCTCGAAGAGGTAAATTGTTAGAACAAGATTCATTAGATTCACCCGAACAGACAGTCTGTGAAGAAAAAATCAATCAAACTTCAGATTCTAAAGGAAAAGTTAATGAAATGTTGAACACAAGGAGAACAAGAAGTGGGAAGATTGTTGAGAATGACTCTACATGTGATGTGTATTTTAACTGTAAAACAAAGCAAGATTCGCTTCTAAATGATATTGAGAGCCTTACTGCTGAAAAACAGATTAAAAAGTCCATAAGTATTCCCGAGAAAGAGTTACATTCAGAAATATTATCTCATAAGGATTACCTTCTTGCTTGCAAAACAGATTGTTCAACAGAAAACATGGATCAAACTGAAAAAGTGCCAAATCAATATTCCAAAGCTGAAGAGGCAAATACTGATACTAGTCAAAAGGAGAGTGTGATTGAGGGTCACATCGGCATAAGTAAGCTGGACCATTCACATGAGGAGTTCATAGTTGATGAACATAAGGGTAGTTCAAATGCATCAATAAATGGTGATAATACTGACAACAACTTGGAAGAAGTTAAGAAGCTAGAGGATGTGTCTTCAACTACGTTAGATACAGCTCCAAAACGAAAAACACGATCATCCCAGCGCAAAAAAGGGTGTGCACAAGGCACTAAAGAAACATACATTGAACCTGACAAAGGTCTTCTTGAAGAAATCTCAGAATCCCCATCAAGAAAGACTAGAAGCAAATGTGATATTATCGAACCAAGCTCCGAAGATAAACAAAACAGTAATATTGATTGCACTGATGTTAGGTTGAATTGTGAAAGTAATAAATTAAACCAGGACATTATAAAGGACGAATCTAATATTAAAAATCCATCTACAATTGAAAGAACTTCTTCAACTGATAGCGCTGATGAACCTCTTATATTTACTAAAAACAAATTAATTGCCGATAAAAACAAAACTGAAACTCCTAGCAAAATTCCAACAACAGAGTTTACAATTACTAATGGTATAAATAATACAACTGAGGAAAACGATAAAAAAGACCTTAAAAAAGAGGATATAAAATTAAAGTGTATGTCTTCTGTTGCTTCTGGTTCAACGACATCAAATCAAGGAAATATAAAAGAAAGTAATGCATCAAATGGGGATCAAAATGTGAAGGATACAAAAAGTGATGGAAATGGTTCCTATTCTTCAGACAACAAATTTTCAAATTCAGATAACACCAACAATACATCTAATTTTAAAATGAATGACATTTCAAATTCTGACAATTCCTCAAACTCTCCTATTAGTGTCAATGTCAACGTGGCACCTATGAAACACAATCAATCAGTAACAATCAACCCTCACAGTTTGTATTCAACTATGATTCATCCAAAATGCTCTTTAAATCCTAAACTAAAGGAAGCAATGAGAAAAAAGAGGGATAAAGCTGAAGTCGATGCAGAAATCAAAAGAAGATTGGCCGAAATAGATGAGTTGGAAAAGTTGGCGAGAAGTCAACATAAAAATGTTTTGGAAAAGATTGGAGCAAGAACTCGCAGCCTTACTATGAACTCTAACATTGATGAAGAAGATGACGTAGTAAGTATTTCTAGCGATGATTCACAAGGTACATCGGTCGGTACAAATGAAGTATCAAATGCTGTTTCAAAGATATCAGACATTGGCAAGTCTGAGGATATCAATGAAGAACCCACAACAACTCAAGAGGATATGTGTAAAACATCTTCTGCGTCTGCACTCATAGCTCAAGAAAACTCTTCATTTAGTAGTTTACTAAAAGGATCGGTCTCAATTCTACCAATTGACTGTACCACCAAGAAAAACAAATTAAGCTATGTAGAAACTGAAAATACAAACCAAGAGCACTCTAAAAATCAAATTAAGTTGTGTGTAGAAACCTCTTTGACAAATGTTAGAAACAAAAAGGATGATTTAAATAATGAGAAGGCTATTGTAAACTTACCTCAGCATGTATCAAGCAATGTTACATTAGAAATTTGCAAAACGCCTTCATCTGTCAATAAGCAACAACCAGTATTACCACTGAGCAAAGAGCCTAAAGCTTCACGCCCTATTAAAAATTTAAGAAACAATCAGAGGGATGTAGTATCAATTTATCAATTTAGAGAGTCTGATGAATCAGACACGGACGAAGAAATTAACCAAAAACAAAAATATAATCGAGTTTCCAGGAAAAGTGTTGAAATGGAAAAACAAAAACCTAAGGCAAATCATACTTCCAAATTAATAGGAAAATCACTCAAGATTCAAGAAAAGTCTGATACGAAGAGTAAATATTTGTCAGTCACTCATGAACGTTCCCCGGACAAAAATAACAGTAGCTTGAGAGACCCATCTCCATTCAATGAGCATGTGAAGAAAACTTGTGAATCCGCCGAACATTCAAATAACCAAAAAGACCTCACTTTAAATTCTAATGCCGTTCCAGAACCAGACTCCAGTACTTCTGTTATGGATCCCTCAAGTACATCTTGTAAGCATTCTGGAGGATTAGAAAAGCCAACTGATTCACCAAAAGATGAGAGAGCTTCAACTCAAGGAGATGAAATTAATTCTGTAGTGTCATCAAACAATACCTCCCAGGAATCAGATATGACTCCATCTTCACCTATTACAGGCTTTAAGCAGCCATACAGGAAATCAATGGTAAATAGGCGGAGGAAGAAACGTAGATCATATTTTGGAAGATGCATGATTCCCAACAACAACTTGGGTAACTCATCTAGTGAATCATTCGATGACAACGACCACACTGGTTCTCAAAGTGAGGAAGTAGTCTCATCATCAGTTACTTCTGTACAAATTCCTCAAGACAAAAAGAAGAGGAGAAGAAGAAAAACTGTCATGGATCTTTTAATGGAAGATTCTATGCTTTCAGTAACTAGAGATTTTCCAATGTCTCCAAACCCGTACATGTTTTCCTCATTTTATAAAGATATTGATCTATCAAATTCGGTTAACAAACCAAGTGCTGTTAATGAGACGGTTACAAGTGAACAAAATTCTCGGAGAACTAATGATGATCATTGTTTACCATTAAAACCAGATTTTCTTGCCCAAAAGCTTAAAATATTAGAAAAATTGAAAAGTATCAGTCGAAAAAACAGAAAAACAAGGCAATGTCGTACATTGGTGTGTTACAATGAAGATTCTTTACCAGAAAGTTTAGTAGAATCTCCAGTCGGAGAAAGTGTCCCCAGTAATAATGATGGAGGAATAATGTCTCAGGAAATTTTAGACCAAACAACATTTAACGAAAGCAACCAAGATAGTTCTGGAAAGTTACTCCAAGAAAATGTTGCAACACCAAAATCAAAATTTGACAGTGGGATTGGAGATCATATGGACACTACCTTATCTTCTGAAACATTAGAAAAAGAACAAAAATCAGTACCACCTAAAATTCCTCTCAAAAGAGGAAGGAAGAGTAAAGCTAAGACAGTGAAGAATGTAAACGACGATTTTGAAACGCCATTAGAAACAGCATCTAAAGTTTGTCCAAGTGAAAACTCACCAACAGAAAATCGTTCATCTACTAATGATCAACCAAAGGATTGCAACTTATCTTTTGAAAATATTTCAAAGAATAACAACGATGAATTATCTGAATTTGACAAACTTTTAGAAAGCAAACCCAAAGATGGTGCTAGGGCAAAACTGTCGTATAATTATGATTCAGGGTTACCAAGGAGTCCAAGTGAAGACAAATCAGATGATGCTCCAGACGATTTTTTTAGTTCACTTCCTTCACCCCGACAAAGTAGTGATGATGAATCTTCCGCAAATGAAATCACAAATGAGCGTTTATCTTCTCAATTTACCTCAGAACAAAAAACAATTGCTGTCAATGATGAATGCTTTAAGAAACAACAAAAGATGATTCCTGAAAAAATTATTTGTAGTATACCCAAAAGAAAAGTTGGTAAGATGTTGCCATATTTTGGAGATTCTTCTTCAGATGACTACGATGATGATGATGATGATCTTGATGAAGACATTCCTCTTTCAGTTAAGCTTACACAGTATAATGAAGATGGTATAAAAGATTTTGAACCCAAATCAGCTGAAGAAGATGATAGTTTTTCAAATTCAGAAGATCCAGGTTTGTCAACTATAGCTTCAAGTATATGCCCACCACTGAAAAAGAGGCGCAAAAATTCAAAGAAACAACAACCAAAAATTAGGCAATCTGGAAGATCTACTCGAAGTAACACTTGTAATTTACCTGAAGAAGACACCGAAGAAGGTTCTAAAGCCAATAAGAACGTTGAAGTTTTTGACAACTCTCTTGATATAAATCCTGAATCCCAAATTCAACTTAGGAAAAGTAATCGGAAGCTCAAGAAAACCAACTTTTTGTGTAAAGAACCTGTAAATTGCATAAAGAAAACTTTAGATGAAATACCTATTGGTAAAGATGGTGAAAACAAAATTGAGATACATTTAGAGTCGAATGATGAGATTGTATCTTTCAAACGAAAGGGAAGGCCCCCAAAGGCTAAAAAACTGAAAGAAAATAGTTTAGACACAACGAGGCTGTATGATCAGCCAACTACAGATATTAAAACTTCTGTTGTATCTGAAGATCAAGATAGCAGAGAGGTTTTCTACAGTTCTTGCGGTACAAGAAAACCAGAAACATTGTCAAAAATGGGCAATGAACATATGATAAATCCAATGTACATATCAGACAATGATGTAAAGGGAGACAATGATGAATCTTCAGAACCTACCTTGAATTCTGTTAATCAAAAAAGTATTTCTTTAAGAAAAACTAGAGGTAAAAGTGACATAGAAATCAAAATAAATAATGAAGTAACTTATGATCAAAATAATGAAAACTATTCTGATGATAATGCCAATGAAGATTCACTACTGGAGGATTTGCCATTAAATAAAAGGGCTGCTAGGGAAATAACTTCTAGAAAAAGGGGTAGGAAGGATAACTTATTTGTAGATGATAGTACACAACACCTAATATTGGATAATCCAGTAACGAAAACTGGTGACGACCATGAAAGCATTGAAGACGCTAGTTTAAAAAACAAAGATGAAAGAAATCAATCTTTAGACAAAACTTTTAATGAATCACCACCTTCGTTGGTTCGAACAAGAGCAAGAAGAGCCAAGCTGTTAACATCAGATTGTAATGATCTAGATCCTCCGAGCTTAGAAACTTCCATCCAACCAAGCATGAATGATGAAAAATATGACTTTGATGCCTCAGTCAATACAGATAGTAATTTAGAAAGTGTGGACACTTTAATACTTTCAGATACAAATTTACCACCACGTAAAAGAGGTAGAAAGCCTAAGACTGCTGGCACGACATCACATCAGAAAGATGACAAAGATGAAACCTTTAATGAAACTCCAAAAAAAGGAGCAGAACAGATTAAACCACCAGATAATGAAGAGTTGAATCAAAGGGAATCAAGATCCATAGACTTACAACCTCTTCCCAAGAAGAGGGGACGTCGAGGAAGACGTAAAATATATCGTAAAAAACCTGCAAATAACAAATACAACAAGAATGAGTCCGATGTTGATTCAGACGCTGAAACTAATATGCCAGAGATATCAACCGAGGATGATATGATAGCTGAAAACAACCAATTAGAAGTTGAAGAAGGAACGAACAACTCTACCCAGGTTAGTGGAGAATTGATAGATAATGCCAGTTTTGTAATGAAAGACGACGGAAGGAAAAGAAGGCGGAAACCAAGGGAGGACAGAATTGAAACAGAAATTGCAGATACCACAACAGACATCGTGGTTGAAAATGGTTCTGCAGATATTGAGTGTGAAGCCAAAAAAAGAAAGACTTCTGACATTGACCTAAAAGAAGAATCCGAACCAAAAGAAGAAGCCTCAACATCTGAGGGCACTGTTGAAGATCCCCACTCTCACCTAGCTCAGAGCTGTGCAAACCAGCCATTCCTATGGAACAGGATCAGTGCGTTCTTGAATAAAAGCACTCGGTCAGTCGGTACACAAGTTAGGGTAAAGAACTTGACACTGAAAGGGTTTGAAACATCTGAGCCCGAAGTGAGCTTACAGAGTGAACTGACATTACCTCAAGTAATCAAAACACTGTTTGAAGAGCTGAGATTTATAGATAGTAGTTTTTCCAATTCCTAATTTATTTATCAGTAGTCTACCCAGTTTGAATACTCAAATATGAAGTACACTAGTTTATGTATTGTTTATATAATTTTAGTAAACCTCGATTGTAGATCACAATCATTCCTCTGGTAACCAGATTTAGGCTGTGACATTTATTAAGTAAAAAACATCCCGAGATTTTATGTCAACATCATTTCAATGATTCGTTGTACAAATTGTAAAGAATTGATGTAACTATTATTGAAGACAAAGTGCCTTTTAATGTACATTAAACTGTATAATATTAGTCTGTAGGAAACTTCGTTGTAAATATGTATACACTGTATATACTTTTATTCCATTAAGATAATGTACAAATATTTTATCTACATTTCTGTACTTATTGTCAAAGTTCATCTAAGGCCTGGCTAAGCAAAATTATTATATGAAATATTATATTTTGCTGTTATTATATAAAATGGTGTAGAGTAACCAAGACTTGTCCAGCATAAATATGTGAGTAATTAGACTATGATTGTTTGATATTTGGATACAAGTTAAGTAAGACTGTTTCTGTCTCATTATGAATTTCTGTATACTATCATTTCATTTCATAGTTGTTATTGTTGTTTATTGCTAACTCAAGACTAATTTGAAATGGTGCCATGGGTTATTCAGAATATTTTAGTACTGTAGTTATTAAAACGTAAACCAAAACAGTGTCACTCACCCATTTCTTGAAACATGTTGTCATTTAAATTCAAAGTTCCTTTGTCAAAGTCAAAACATGCTTTTGTTTTGTAACATTAGTACAAAACACTAATTTTACACACAAAATAATTTGTATCAATAAAAACTTGTTTTGCAATATGAGTTTTGTCCCAAAAAACAAAAGATATATAAAAACAAAGACAGTTTGTTTATTCTGGCAATTTTAGGTATTCGTAAAATATATCTATTACTATATTTCGTGTTACTGTATAATTAAAGTTTATATTCTAAGGAATGTTCCTTGTTTACAACCCCATGGCAGCTTTGCACACGTTTGTGTGATTTTCATAAACAATTGTTCGGAATTATACTTTTTTACTGATCATGTGTGAGTTTTATTTTATTACGATAGAACCCTCAAACTTCCTGAGAATATATCAGAATTGTTAAAAACTTAATCAATTTCTTTACATTAGTTACAACCAACTTTAGGCTTCATTAAATTTAATACATAAGTTTTTTTGGGGACTTTTCTCATTCTGTTTGTTTATGAGTTTAAAGGTATGCACAACTAATACTGCAATTATCACCTCAAAACAAACATTGCAAAGGAAATAACAAAGCCAACTCATTAACAAACATACAGTTTTTATTCATTGCATATCATTTTTGACAATGCATACCTAGATAGTAAAATGAGAAGGGAATGTAGTAAACTATGACTTCTTCAAATGAAATTTAACTGTTGCTTTAAAAGATGGTGCTATCGCAAAAAATAGCAATTTAATTTCCACGAGGAGATGAAACATGTGCAAATCTGACATATTTCCTAAGACACAATTCAATCTATTTTTAAATTTCAATGATTTTGATCTGTAGGGAGTGAAAATATGCATATACTTTTCATGAAGGCATGAAATTCTGGTATTTGAACAAAAGCACAACTCGCATTATATTAGATAAATCCTAAAATTGATAATACAAACCTCTTTAAAGCTCTTTTTTAAGGTCATCTTTTTGTAAAAGGTAACTTTTGGAACCTTTCCAATATTTATTGTAAAACAGCAATGTGCCTGCCAAAAAATGTTTATTGTATGGCTTTGTTTAAAAAGTTTAGAGAGCCTACTGATGAAACTCATATGCTTTTTTCAGGAGTTGTACTCCAGTTGATTTTAGCAAACCCTTCTGTAAACGACTTTCTGGTCTAAAAAAAAGACTCACACAAACTATTTTTACGGAGAGTAAATAAAAATACCTCTAATAAACACTTGACTCATATATTTACTTTTGTACTATTTTAAACAAGACAGTAAATAGGCTACATATTTATATAATATAGTAATGAGGATCGATTTCGATTGAACACTCCAATCTTCCTCAGACTCAACAGGTTTAATGACATATTTTTATTTACTCCCAGTAAAATTAATAGCACATACTATGCTGAAGTTATTTAGGGAAAATATTTTTGCGCTTTTCTCCTCCAAGAATTAACTATTTAAAAACTAATATTGCATTTAAAATAATCAAAACTTAGTGGATTATGTATCTAAAACTAAACACCATTCAAACTAAGTATTGACTAGTTACCAGTAACACGCTGACTTGCTCTGTCTTTGATCTGAACCAGTCCAAAGTAGAAGGATATCATGGCTCTCATCACCTAATAAGAAGTACAAAGGCAGTTTATAAATCGCAAAAATATATTTCAATCCTTAAGGCTGATATGTTGGCCATTGAGAGTAAAATGACCTAATAACTTTGACTTACAACTGTCAAAGTACAACTAAACCGAAATGGATGATGGCTAGCCTGAAATGTGGTGCTGCCTGGGAGTCAAATTTATTACTTCTTTGGCATTTTTTTTTATTAGTATTGTTTTGTTAGTGTTTGTAAACCAGGACTGATCAATGGCTTAGTAGTGTAAGGTGTTTTATCTCCAGCCAGCAAACAACACCTCAGATGACTCAGTGACAGTGGGACAAGCCTGGCATTTGGGTTTCTTGTGTTTTCTAAGTATATACATCAATGTATGGTATTCACCATGCTCAAATCGCCTTTTGTTGATGTCATGTATCCACTCCCTATATTTGGGATCGATGTCTTCAGCTACAGCAAACAATAGCAACATTTATTCCTTATCATCTGATTTAATAGTATTGTAGTCCTGAAAATTTTAGTATTGTATTCGTTAATAGTCCTGAAAATAAAGGTGTTTACCGGATGAGTGTGGTTGTTCCCGGGATTACTATACGAGTCCGTTAACACATTTTGGACGAGTGGCGTACGATATTTTACGCCATACTACTAAATCCGTACAGATCCTTATCCTTATACTAAGAGAGATTATTTCTGTTTATAAACTAACCATTCTCATTCATTGCCAAATACAGTATTTAATCAGCTTGTTGGTGTCTGGAAAAACTCATTACCGTATAGCAGTACGTGATGGAAACCCCATTTGATTAAGCAGACGGCAAACAGCTGTTTTCTGGACTAAATCCTTGCATGGGAAGTTTGTCAAAACAGTGTAGTGTGGTGTAGACATAGCTAACAATACACCACTCTTGTTGACTGCACACTCATAAATGAGGACGTAAAATTACTATAAACTGCTGGCACCGCTGCGGTGCGGAATCGCTCCAGTGTGAATGCCCTAATGATACCGCCGCGGTGGTGATGGTAGATGGGGGAGATGAAAAAGCATGCAATATACCGCTACCGCTCTCACTGCTCCGGGTGTGTGGTGTGTGCAGGCCTTCTCAAGGATTAAAGCTGCAGCCAGTTTTAGAATTAAAACAAACAAATTTTGATATGAACCATTGACTGAGAGAGCTCATGTCAATTACTGATTTCTATTCGAGACCAAACTTGTCAACCTAGCCAAACTGAACGAATAATTTTAAACGTCTTTTATCCCGCAAACTATCATAGTTGAAAGCTAGGGCATACTCTAGGTGTAAGAGCTTCATTTCAGCTCTATTCTAGACTTGTCTACTTCACTATTGTCTATTTCAGAATCCAAAAAAACAATACTTGGTTTAAGAATATAAAGCAAATTTTCCATTCAAATTTTAGCATGTTAACACGTAGTAAATGCTTTCGCTCACCCATATGAAGTTGTGAAGTGACATATTGAAGTAGCGGGAGTTGAAGGCTGCGAAACACATTGGACGTTTGGCTGCTTCACAGATTACTGCAAGAGATGACTTGACCCGTCGACTGCAAGTGTACCAAGGTGCGTGGAACACATCTTCGAATGTGCGCACACTCTACAAGACCAAAAGGTAGTTTTAGCCATCCTAAAGGCATTTTTTCAACCAGAACTTATTTCTCTTTTTTCAGAATCAAACTCCCCTATTATCTACCTCGGTAGGTTGGTTCAGATAGATAAGGTAAACTAATGTTAAGAAATGTTTCATTGGGTTTTTAAGTTTTTTCGTATCTAAGGAAGTGAAATCTTTGAAATAGTTATATTTTAGGTAACAGTCCAAACGTTGGTCAGGTTAGGTAGCATCTTTAAAATAGTCTCTTTTTGTACTCGTACTTTATGGCAACCAATTACATCAGTCATATAACCTAAGTAATACATTGACTATAAATCTCTATTGTTAGAGAATCTTATAAGTAGGAGTGTAACAAGTAAAAACTTATTTTCGTTATACTACAATTAGTTAGTAATATCTTCCAAATACACCAAAAACTAGACTTTACCTCAAAAGTTAGGTAGGATCCTGCTATGGAGAGAATAAACAAATTGAAAATAATTCCAGCAAAGTACAACCCGAGGAGGATTTCTTCTACTAAGCCATAGTAGTGACGGTTCTGAAATTGAACAAAATTTTTACATTAGACAGTGAAAACAAAAGTAGATAAAATCCAAAAATGCTATTTATGAGCCATTTCCATTTATGCTTGGATTTTGACAAGCTTTAAATTACAATTTAAAGATTATGAATATTAGCTCAAGCTGCAATCTTACTAAAACAAATTTAATAGCAAATCTACTACAAACAAATCTTTTTATTTTCATGAATAATTCATGTATATTTTTAGAGCTGAATTTAGATAAAGGAATAGAACGCAAAACTATGTTTTACACATATTTTTTTTATTTATTAGTTGGGACATTTAAGTTTGAATTGTGACAAGTTTAAGCCAAAGTTACCTGAGTAATTGAGAATACGCCGCTGATGAGCACAAAAAACATCACAAGAAAGTAGCTTATCAATAAAGAACTGTAGATATCCACAAACTCTTGGCATAATCTGCAAACATACATGTACAGGATAAATAAATAATCAAGACCCCCATCTAATGTGTTTCTAAGTAAATATACAGTACAGTGATGTCTTTTTGGTGGTCGTGCAATTACACCTCATTTTGAAGTGTTTATAAAAACTTGAAGAATGTTGAAAGCCAGAGCTCGCTATCTCTTTTATAATTTTCAAAATTATAAAATAAAACTTCCTGCTAAGATTGCACGGCCACCAAAAGGATATCTCTGTATATTTACTTAGAAAAATATTAGTTTATGGAGAGGTCTTGACTTGTTATCCCCCCTGTATAATATATGTTCATTAATAATGTGTATCTATTTTAATTGGTATTAATTTATATTAAAAAAGTTTAGAATATTCTGGTATTTTGTGTTTATTTTTATAATTTTACACCTATTTTATCAGAATCATCTTTTAAGTTGGAGACAAAGCTTGATGAAACTTAATTGAAATATGTACCGAAAAATAGGTCCTATGGTGGTCAGAAGCAAACAGGTTAAAACTGTATATCGTCAAAAGTGTTACATGCGAATGCCATCGTGTGACATGGTACTGTCCCTCAGCAAGAGAGGAGATAGTGTTGTGCTCAACAGGGAGAGTTTGACTTTGTGTGACAAGTCAAAGACTCTCGGCATTGTGCTTGATAGCGATCTCCGATATATTGATTATATCATGAGTTTTTGTGATTGTAGAACAGACCAAAAACAATTGCTTCAGTTGGAATACCCATGGTAGTAAGAGGTACTGAGCTTATTAACCAAGAATTACTACAATAGTGATAAGAAATTTCACCATCTAAGCTGAACTGTATGCCTAAACACTGAACAAAAATTAAATTCCTAAATATAATTTTTACTACTCACTTTATTAGTTGTACGTGCATTTGAACCCAATTCTTAACTTCCTCTTCTGCACTCCTCTTTAAATGCCAAGCTCCAGTTTTCAAACAATTTTGTTTTTGATACAGAGGCTGTAAAAGCTGTAGTCTGGAGGGATGTCCCAATTGTTGCTTAGTCTCAAGAGAGTGAGCGAATTTTGTCTTAAGATAACGGAAACAAAGCGTTTGCAGAATCATCATTGTCATCAGATAGTAGTGGTTGGCTTG